TTCTTCTTCTTCTTAAAAAGTTGTGCAAGGCCAGCCAAAGATAACAATGGGTTTGAGAAGCCTACACTGGGAAGTTGCCTGCAGTTAACTGGCAGATGCTGCTAGAGGAAAGGTCATCTCCAAGAGCCACAGTAAAAGAACACAGGATATGAACTGAAGAGAACCAGTTTCTAGATGGCCAGGGAGTACCTGCCATGAGTCACCAAGAGCAGTGTATGTGGAAGAGAGAATAAGGTTCTTTCAAAGTCACCACAGAAACCTCATACATAAGGGAAAAGGTCTAAAACACTCTAACTGCACACCTAGTCTCAAGAATCTATAGGGCTGGAGAGAGAACTCAGTAGTTAAAAGCACATACTGCTCTTGTAGAAGACCTGAGTTCAGGTCTTCTGTCTTCAATAGGTGCCTATACTCACTCATACATACCCACACACAGAAACACACAAGTACCCATAATTAAAAATTTTAAAAAAGAATAGGGGCTGGAGAGAGTACTCAGTGATTAAGAGCACTGGCTGCTCTTGCAGAGGACCTGAATTGGTTCCCAGCACCCACATGGTAGCTAACAGCCTTTTGTAACTCCAGTTCCATGGGATCTGATACCCTCTTCTGGCCTCCACAGGTACTGCACACAGGTAATGCACTTAACATATGTGCAGGCAAAACACTCATACACATAAAATAAAAATTTTTTTAAATTGCTCTGGAAACTGTTATTGAGCATATTAAAGCTGTAATGATATGCTTCTTCTAAAAAAATAAAAATATTAAAAACAAATTAATTAAAAAGAAACTACTGGGCTGGAGAGATGGCTCAGCAGTTAAGAGCACTGGTTGCTTTTGCAGAGGACCCAGGTTCGATTCCCAGCACCCATATGGTGGCTAACAGCCATCTATAATTCCAGTTTCAGGGGAATCCAACACCATCTCCTGATCTCCTTGGGCACTGCATGACATGGGTGCACTTACAACTGCAGGAAATACACTAATATACATAAAGAATAAAATTAAAACAAAAATATAAATAAAATATTTTAAAAAGAACTACTTATAGTCTACAACTTACAGGTCAGGGTGACAGCACAGAGGACTCAGACTACTGATGCTTAATCTGGGAGACCATGCAGTTATCCTGACCGTTTTCTATCTCATCCTTCAGCAAGGTAAAGGTGTCATCTTACCCAATGGCAAGTCTCCTGTGGTTGGCTCTGCTTATTTTCTTTTTTATGTCTCCCTAGGCCCTACTCACTGGGAAAGTCACTGGGCCTTCACTATGGGCTTCCTTCCCTGTACAGTCCTCCACGACACAGGCCAGCTCTCTGCTCACCCAGTAATAATGCTTTCCTTTCTCTCTCTTGCTCCCCCCCAGAGAGGGCTGCTATCTACAGCTGGCCTGTATGGCTGTCTCAGCTCCTGCCTATTGCCCAGATGACAGTGGTACCTCACCCATCCGTCTTCTTGTTGCCATCCATTGGCCTCACTTTTGATGCTGGCTCACCACAGAGTTCCTGGAGCTGAGTTGGTGTCTCTAACAGGTTTGTGGGTGAAAAGCAGTCAAATAAAGGGTAACACAGGCAACAAAAAACAGAAACTTCTCTAGAACCATCTGAGGACTTGGTATTTTGTCAGAAATAATTAGGGGTAGAGACAGACGAAGTGAGACCTTAGGTCCAAGAGCATCCTGAGACCCGACCTCATCTGCTGACTGATGTGTAAGAAGGCAAAGTCCCTAAAGCTAACCGTTTCCCATTACTGTTAACCCACACCTTCTAGCAGATGACAGGGGAATGACTGAAGCACTATTCAGAACTGCAGAATTTGACTCAAAAGATACAATACATGGGCCATCTGGTGAGTGTAAAATGGTATGACCACTAGGAAGACACTAAGTTTATACCCAGGACATTGCCAGCCACCCAGAGTCTAGGCACAGACCACAAAGAGAGGAAGAACACTCATCCACACAAAAATGTGTACTCAGACATTCTTAGAAACTTTGCACAGCCCAAAACAGATGTTCACCTCTAGGAAAACAGATTGGCAAGATGGAGTATGGATTCATGGTGGAACACCATTCCACAGCGGGAAAACAAGTAATGGCCACAAGAAAACCACAGGGTGGATCACAGAGACATGTTGAGGGAAAGAGGTTAGATGCAAGATTATACACTTAAGTTCAAACTGTAAAATTAATATATGGTAACAGGCCACAGCGCTGGTGAAGATGTAGGGAGGAACTGTGCCATGTGATAATCTTGTAAGGGATTTGAGTACTGGGCTCAGGAATCTGACACACTTCAAATTGGCACACTCAAAGTTTGCACATTTTACAGTAGGTAAATTTTTGCTTTTTAAAAAAAAAGTGCCTAGTACGGTGGCACACACCTTTAATCCCAGCACTTGGGAGGCAGAAGCAAGCAGATCTCCATGAGTCCAAGGCCAGTCTGGTCTACATAGTGAGTTCCAGGCCAGGTGGGGCTACAGGGAAACCCTGTCTCAAAAAGAAAAAAAATCCTAAACTTCACCCACCCAAGGCTCAGGGACCATGGCAGAAGAGGGGACAGAAAGATCCTAAGAGCCAGGGAGGAGGTGCATGACCATATGGAAACTATGGACAAAAGGAACCTGCTCATATGATTCTGTATTAGTCACTTTTCTGTTGCTGTGATAGAAACACTGACCCAAGCAATTTACAGAAGGAAGAGTTTATTTGAGCTTACAATTCCATCATGGCAGGGAGGCATGATGGCTGGAGGTGGCTGGAGCAGGAGCAGCAGAACCTAAGCTCTCACATCATTACACAGGCACAGGAAGCAAGAGAGCAACTGGAGATCTGGCAAGGCTTAAGAACTCTCTAAGCCCACCCCCAGGGACATGCTTCCTCCAGGATAGCCACACCTTCTAAAACCTCCCAAAACAGTGCCACCATCTAAGGACAAAATGTCCAAATACTTGGAGCCTATGGGAGATGCTTTCATTCAAACAATAACAGATTCTACAGCAATGGTGTCAGTAAACTCCGGCAGACAAAAACCCAGCATAGAACTGGGTTCTTACCTGAAGAAATATTGGCAACTGATTGCTGCTAGGTGAAGAAGAGCTGATCTGCCTAAAACAAGGGACTCTAGATAGGCTGACTAGACCTCAGCGGATGGACTTGCACTGGGGAACGGCTGGAGACATTGACGTGACACAGTATGCCTTTACATGGATGACAGAGTATATGGGCTCGGGTGGGGGGGCTATAGGAGGGTGCTGGTAGAGACAGGGGTATAAAGATAATTAAGACTGTTTGAGATGGGGGCTGGAGAGATGGTACAGTGATTAAGAACACTGGTTGTTCTTGCAGAAGACCCTGGTTCGAATCCCAGCACCCACATGGCAGCTAACAATTGTCTGTAACTCCAGTCCCAGGGGATCCAACAGCCATTCTGACCAATGCAGGCATTGCATGACAAGGGTGCACTTACCTACATGCAGGCAATACACACATACACAAAAAATAAAAATAATAAGGCCGGGCGTGGAAATAGCTTGACTTCCTAAAAAAAGGGACTCTAGATTGCCAGACTAGGCTCAGTGGACACACTTGTACTGGAGAATAGTTGGGGACACGGAAAACACAGTGGGCCTTAACAGGGATGACAGAGAATATGGGCACCAGTGAGATGGGGGCGGCTTATGGGAGGAGGCCAGTGAAGATAAAGGTATAAAGATGATAAAGATTATTTGAGATGTTCTATATGAAATACACAAAAATTCAATAAAAACAATTTTTTTAATTAAAAAAAAGCCTTCAAACAGATACTAAACTCTAGATAATGATCAAGATGCATACCCAAGCATTTAGGGGAAAGAACACAAAAGTATGATTTGAATACATCCCACTGAAAAGATGGACCGGAGGACAATGGATGGAAGAAATGGATGGAGATGATATACACAGCACACATGCATGTACAAGCTGCAGCCAGCACAGTACAGATGATGAATATATACATGAGTGTTCACTGTGTACTCTTTTCAGCATTTTTGAAATTTTTTCTCATGAAACCCTAGGGAAGGGCAGTAGCTTCCCAACATTGTGAATAAGCGGTTGAGCCTATTGATCATGGAGGACAGGGTTGAGAGGGCAAAGAATAGGGAAGAGAACATCTCAAACTCCAATTGTTTCAGGAGTTCAAGAAGTGGTAGGCTGGAGAAGAATGAGTAGCTATATAGTAGAGAAAGAGGAAGGGCAATGGGGCCAACTGACCTCCATTTCTGATGGCCATGATCCCTTGATGGAAGTCTTCAAAACTGATCACGCCAAGCCCACTTGGGTCCAAGTACTGAGTTAAGTCCTTCACCTGCAATAGCCAAATGAGAATGTGTTACCCACAGCCTTCACAGAGAGAGGGAGCATGCCAAGCACTGACTCCTTATGATCTACAGAACAGCTCAGAGTTGAAAAGCCACCCACTCCTCCACCCAAAGAGGCAGAGGTAGCCACCACAGCTACTGCAAACACTTTCAGGCTGTCTTGAGAGAAGCTGCCAGTAAGTATCAGTATCTTGAACCATGGAAGTAACATGACAGCTGAGCTTCCCTAGTGGGGAAATCAGTTTTAAGTTCTAGGGACTGTTCCAGCAAGTTCTTAGAATATTTATGTGACGTGCAAACCCACACACTTACTGGGATGGGCTTCTCAGTTGAAGTAAGTCCTTTAGTGGAAAATAACTGAGGCACATAGATCCTTGATATCAATCTTTAAAAGGCAGAAGGGCAACTCACACACATGTGCTACAAATGACATAACTTTTCAAAACAAGATGTGGTTATGAGCCAGACATGGTGGCGCACACCTTTAATCCCAGCACTCAGGAGACAGAGGCAGGTGGATCTCTATGAGTTCAAGGCCAGTCTGGTCTACATAATGAGTTCCAAGCCAGTTGGAGCTACAGGGAGACCCCTGTCTCAAAAAGACGAAAAAAAAAAAAAAAAAAAAAAAAAAAAAAAGATGTGGTTATGTTGCCAGGAATATAAGGTAGATCTCACCAAAATTTTTGAAAGCAGGACAGGTTGACTCACACACCTGTAATCCTAGCATTCCAGATGTTATAGCAGGAGGATTGTCTTGAGTTCAAAACCAGTTTGGCTTATATAATGACTTTGAGGCCAGGTTGGGCTACAGAATAACACCCTATCCAAAATAACTCATTTGGCTTCAAAAGGCAAGATTAATAAAATCAAAACAACATGACAACAACTAGGAGAAAGTATTTGCAAATCATGTGTCTGACAAAGGACTTGAAACCAGAATATACAGATAAATCTTAATTCAGTAAGAAAAGGCAATGTAAATGTTGTAAATGAGCAAGAGATTTAAGAAAATATTCCATCAAAAAAGAATACAAAGGGGCTGGAGAGATGGCTCAGCAGCTAAGAACACTGGCTGCTCTTGCAGAAGATCCCCGCAACTCCAGTTCCAGGGGATCTGACACCCTCTTCTTTCCTCCACAGGTACTGTATATGACAGGGGTGCACTTACATACAAGCAGGCAATACACGCATACACATAAAATAAAAATAATATATATTTTTTATTTATTATTTTTATTTTATGTGTATGCGTGTATTGCCTGCATGCCAGTAAATGCACCCATGTCATGCAATGCCTGCATTGTTCAGAAGAGGCTGTTGGATCCCCTGGGACTGGAGTTACAGACAGTTGTTAGCTGCCATGTGGGTGCTGGAATTCGAACCCGGGTCTTCTGCAAGAACAACCAGTGTTCTTAACCACTGAGCCATCTCTCCAGCCCCAAAACAAAATATTTTTTAAAAGATTTATTTTTATGTATGTGTTTGCCTGCATGTATGTATATATGCCACATGTGTGCCTGGTGCCCGTGAAGGCCAGAAGAGAGTGTGGGATCCCCTGGAACTGTAGTTACATGTGGTCGTGAGCCATCATGCGGGTGCTAGGAACAAAACCTGGGTCCTCTGCAAGAGCAGCCAGTACTCTTAACTGCTGAGCTATCTCTCCAGCCCTGAAGTGACTTGAAAGAGAAAGCTAGATTATCACTAAGCTTTTTGGAAGCAATGTCAGATAACAGATATTCTAATGCCATCATACCAAGTACTGTTAAGATCTGGGATCTTTAAGAAAGGAGAAAAAGGCCATGGGTGGTGGCCTCCCAGCACTAGGGAGGCGGAGGCAAGTAGATCTCCATGAGTCCAGGCCAGACTGGTCTACAAAGGGAGTTCTAGACCAGCCAGAACTACATAGTGAAATCGTGTCTCAAAAAAACAACAAAGGAGGCTGGAGAGAGGGCTCAGCAGTTAAGAGCACTGGCTGCTCTTGCAGAGGACCCAGGTTTGATTCCCAGCACCCAAATGGCAGCTAACAACTGTCTGTAGCTCCAGTTCCGGGGATCCGACACCCTCTTCTGACCTCTCCAAGCACTGAATGCATATGGTATACTTACATATATGTAGGCAAAACACCCATACACATAAAATAAAAATAAATAAAAGAGAAAAAGTAACAAAAAAGAAAGAAAAGAAGGAGAAAACAATGTAAGACTAAACATGTTAGACAAACTCTCTGTACCAGAGACTGGGTGATCTACAGGAACAGACATCTCTTTCTCACATTCTGGACACTGGAACCCCAAGATGGAGATGCCAGCATGGAATGTCTGGCAAAAGCTGTACCTCCACAGGGCAAAAGAGTAGTAGGGAACAATTGTGCTCCCTTGCACAGGGGCTGTGTCAGGCCATGCCCTCAGGACTATCTCCTAAAGGCCTCACGATTCTTAGCACCATCACAGTGTTCAGTGGTGTGTTAAAGGACATTCATACCACAGCAGCCTATGAATTTGAATTTAAGCAGCACCATGAACTCAGAATGTATTTAAAAACAAAAACAAGCTGGGCATGGTGGTGCACGCCTTTAATCCCAGCACTCCAGAGGCAGAGGAAGGCGGTTCTCCATGAGTTCAAGGCCAGCCTGGTCTACATAGTGAGTTACAGAACAGCTGGGGCTACAGGGAGACCCTGTCTCAAAAAGACCAAAAAACAAACAAACAAAAAAAAACCCTAAGAAACAAACACATGGTTCATTGGTTAAGAGCACTTACTGCTCCATCAGAAGTACAGAGTTTGGATCTCAGCACCCATATCAGGCAGCTCACAAACGCCTGTAACTCCAACTCCACAGTATCCAATGCCCACTTCTGGCTTCTGTAGGCAGACATACACATACAACCACAAATAAATCTTAAAAAAAAATCTTAAACCTGGGTGTAATCCCAGCTACTCTAGAGGCTAAGGATATAAGATCACAATTTTAATGAACAGCCTCAGCAGTTTAGTAAAACTTTGTCTCAAAATAAAAAGTAGACATGAGGTGGGACATGGTGCACACCTTTAATCCCAGCACTTAGGAGGTAGAGGCAAAGGCAGAGGCAGATAGTCTAGTCTACAGAATGAGTTCCAGGCCAGCCAGGGCTACAAATTGAGACCCTGTCTCAAAAAAAAAAAAAAAACCTAAAGAAGCAGAGGTGCTAGTGAGCTGCTACTAGCATCCAAACCTGAAGTTCAATCCACAGATCAAACTGGTGAACTGGCTCAGCAAACTTCCCTAAGTTACTCCATTTTGTTCAGAGCCATTTCAGCAGCAACTTTGCTCCACACCAAAAGGAAAAGGGGGGCAACCTTGGGCCTTGGAAAATTGCCCTTGCCATGAATCATGGAATGTGATAATTCCAGACATTATACATTTTTACTAACCAGCTTGTTTTGCTTCTGTAATCTGCTTGGTGTCTTGGGTCGCCTTGACACAGGGCATAAGACCACCCTTGTTATCTTGTTATTGTATGACCACCTGGAAGTCATTTACCTTGACTGTCTTATTATACTTATTATGGCTAAAACAGTTGGCTAGTTTTAAGGTCACAAAGGTGATTGCCAAGTTATATGACTGTATTACTTGTCTGTATAATGATTGGTTGTTAATTAATAGAGTCAAAATTCTGCTATGTTGTACAAACCTGATTGGTTCACAAATGTCCTGTTTTAATAATAATTCTGTAATCCTATAAAAACTCTGACCTGACAATCACCAGGGCTGCTTCTACTCCCGAGATAGACAGCCCGGCCGGTCGAAAATTAAAATTTACCTTGCTACTTTTCTTAAAGTGGTGTTGGTGATTTTTTTACGAACTCTGACCTATAACAACTGGCAGAAGTAAATCAACTCCCAAGAACTGTCTTCTGACTGCCACAAACACACTATGACACAGGGTGCCTATACATACACACATACACATATACACACACCCCACACACACACACAGACTAATTTCTTTTTAAGTAAAATCAATTATGGATGTGGGGTGATGGTGCTTGCAATCCTAGTACTTGGAGGGAAGGAAATGGGACTATGGTTTAACTTTCTTGTAGCTGTTGTAATATTTTGAAATTCTTTCAAAAGCAATGTCTTAGATAAACCTACTGAAGCATTTGGAGACACCTCAAAGGAAAGCAGACTCAGTTGTGTTATTTACATTTCATCTCCCACTGAAAGAAGCAGGATCACTGGTGAGACACTGGAAATGTGCCAGCTGAGTGTGGAGCCCGGGGTCATGTCTGAGAGCAAAGCAGCTATCAAAACTGTATCATACAACAGGACTCAGGAGTCAATGTAAAGAGCTTCCAGAGCCTACCAGAACACAGACAAGAAGGACAACTGCAACAAACACATCAAGTGTTCCTCAGTCCCTGTGGGCTTAAGTAGGGTAAAGTGATTATGAGGGAGCCAAGTCACTGGGTGAAAAACCAGTAAACAAAAGAAGCCTAGCATCCAGCCATCCAGTCCTGAGCAAGCTACTGTCCCACAACCAAACAGCAGATGGCGCGATCTCAACCCTGCAGACAAAGGAGGAGTGACAGCTGCTATATCTTCAATCCCTAACAGAGTAACCTAACTTCACCCAGCACTAGGCCTCATGACCAGACATTGACAACCAAGCTACCACCTGACAGGAAGAAAAGCGACCAAAGGAACATCTTTTTACATCCTAGCAACTAAATCAGCAAATCCAGCCCAGGAGAAGTTTGACAGGGATTGAAAATGACATGCTGATTTCAAGAAAGGAAGACAAGCCAGCCGTGGTGTCTCATGCCTTTAGTCCCAGCACTGGGAGGCAGAGGCAGGCAGTTCTCAGAGGCAGGCGGATCTCTGTGAGTTCAAGGCCAGCCTGGTCTACATATTGAGTTCCAGGACAGCTGGGACTACAGGGAGACCAAAAAAAAAAAAAAAAAAAAAAAAAAAGAAAGAAAGAAAAGAAAAAAGAAAGGAAGACAA